TGCTGAATACCTACTAAGATGACTCTGGATACATCCCCATCTTCTCCATAGCTCAAACAGTTTATTCCAGATGCATTATTTTAGTATCAAGAGGTACTATGAGAAACTGAAAGGTCATGGTGACAAATCCCAGCCAGTGCTAGCGACAGCTGAAGTGACATTGTGGTGGGAGCAAACTTGGAGATAACAAATGGACTGCACCACCATTATCAGCCTGTTGGCTTGCCGACCACCAACAGTCACCAGCAACCGCTATGCTATATAGCCCTGAAAAGTAAGGGAGGCCAAGAGATTGCTACTGGTGATGTTATGTCTCTGGTTCAGCTGTTTGGACTATGCTAAAGAAGAGTGGTAACAGGGCCCAGCTGTATGGAAAAGGTTCACAGAGCCTCCAAGGCTGATGGATGGACACAGGGAATTACGCAGGGAAAGCAGATAAAAAGGGACATTGCAACTTACCATCGGAGCAGTCCTCCCCCATGTAGCCATCATCACAGATGCACTGTCCGTCGATGCAGCGGCCCGCATTGTTGCAGTCGTTGGGGCAGGACCGTTCACGGCAGTCCTCCCCCATGAAGCCCTCATGGCACACGCAGCGCCCGTTGACGCAACGCCCGTGCTGGTGGCAGTCATTGGGGCAGGACAGCTCGCCACAGTCCTCCCCCGTGAAGCCATTGTCACACTCACAACGCCCCTCCACACAGCGCCCACGGTTGTGGCAGTCTTCAGGGCACCGCAGCTCCCCACAGTCCTCCCCTGTGTACCCCTCGTCACACACACACTGCCCATTGGCACAGAGTCCATGGTTGTTGCAGTCATTGGGGCACCGCAGCTCACCACAGTCGTCCCCGATGAATCCCTCGAAGCACACACACTGCCCGTTGACACAGAGCCCACGGCTCCTGCAGTCACTGGGGCACCGCAGCTCCCCGCAGTCCTCCCCAATGAATCCTTCGTTGCACACGCACCGCCCATTGACGCAGCGCCCGCGGTTGTGACAGTCGTTGGGGCACCGCAGCTCCCCACAGTCCTCCCCCAGGTACCCCTCGTGGCAGACGCAGCGCCCACCCACGCAGCGCCCACGGTTGTGGCAGTCCTGCGGGCACCTCTTCTCGCTGCAGTCATCCCCCACGAAGCCCTCGTAGCAGACGCACAGCCCGTTCTCGCAGCGCCCGTTGCCATTGCAGTTGTTGGGGCAGGTCAGCTCCCCGCAGTCCTCCCCGGTGAAGCCCTCCTCGCAGAAGCAGGTCCCGTTGACGCAGCGCCCGCGGTCAAAGCAGTCGTTGGGGCAGATGAGCTCGCTGCAGTCCTCGCCGGTGTAGCCCTCATCGCAGACGCACTCATTGTCCACACAGCGGCCACGGTTGTGGCAGTTGTTGGGGCAGAGGGGCTCACTGCAGTCCTCGCCGGTGAAGCCCTCGTGGCACACGCACTGCCCGCTCACGCACCTCCCGTGCACGCTGCACCCCTGGGAGCAGAGCTCTTCGCTGCAGTCCGTGCCTGTGTACCCCTCAAAGCAGACGCAAACCCCGTCCACGCACTTGCCTTGGTCGTTACAGTCGGACGGGCAGGTGGCCTGGCTGCAGTCCTCGCCGGCGAAGCCTTCGGTGCAGATGCACTTGCCCTGGACACAGAGGCCGCGGTTGAAGCAGTTGCGTGGGCAGTCCGGTTCAGAGCAGTTGGGGCCTTTCCAGCCAGGCTCGCAAACGCAGCCGCAGATCTCGACGCTGTAGTTGCCGTGTCCGCTGCAATAGGGTGTTGTGTCCAGGCGACCTGTACCAACGATCCAGAAAACCCGTTAGTCCCCTTGGCTCTGGGATGCACGAGGCCAGTGTGGCACAGACGACCTAAAAGGGGTCTGATTTTCCCAGCTCCCTACAGGACAGAATTTCCAGAATCAGCAAAGCTTTTAAAAGAGAATACCTCCTTCTTTCTCCAGTGAGACTGAGTTTACCAGGAATGCTTTAATTCGCACTAGTGCCAGGGAAGAGCCCCTGCCAACTACTTGGTCAATGAGCATGCTGGATTCCTCTGCCCTTCGCAAAATCCCTCTTCCACTGACTGAGCAGCTTTCCTGGCTGCTTCATTAGGGCATGCACCATGAAGCATTATTCACCAGTTCACTCCAGAACATAAAAAGCCAGGCAGCATGCTGTATCATCCACTGTGAGACTGGCTCTGCGCTCCGAGGGACAGATTACTACTGAGAAGACCTGTGTTTTCTCTCTTGTATGACCAATCTCTTACCCCAGTTTAAAAAACACCCAGAAGGATACCTTTTTCCCCCTTCTCTAACTGTTTGTGCTTGTCTATTGCCTTATGTCCTGCTGTATTTTTATTTTTATATCTATTAAGAAAAACTTGGAAACGAAAATGGCTGCATTGGCAGCTAACTCAAGGGGACAAAATGTGGAGCCAAGAGCTTGGACTGTATGAGTTTTAATCTTAACTCTGACGCAGGTTGTCACCATGCCCAAGTGCCGTACATGCTCAGTGCCACAGCTACAAAGTGGCCCAGGCAGAGTTCTGACCCACAGATTCATAAAAATGCAAAACTGTGAATGAATGTCTCTCGCGAGCTAGCCAAATATGTTCCCAGTCTTGATTATGTTTCAAATTTAACAAGTTGACTTTTGCTCACTCTTGAAACAGGTTTGAGTATCTACTCTAAACAAGATCTACAGCCAGCACAAGAATTTCCCCAAGAGCAGCTCCCCGGTCTGCCTTACCTTCTACCGCCTGGGAATTAGGACAGCATCCAGCCCCGCTGGCACACTGCTCCCGGAGGGAGGATACCAGCCCCTCCAGCTCCTCTAGTCTGCTCAGCAGATCCTTAATGTCTGGGGCAGCCGCGCAGCCACAAGCCCGACGGGGAATGTTAATACGGTGTGTGAAGACAATCTGGTTTCCCTCATTCACTGTGTGCTCCTCGTAATTCTTGATGGGCTCAATTTCCGCCTTCAGGTCTGCATCACCGCTCGCTGTATCCAGGTCCACAGAGCAAAGGGAGCCAACAGGCAACTTGATGTTGTAGACATGGTTAAAAACCACAGGCTGATTATCCTCTGGCAAGGTCACGTTTAGCCCCGTCTCCCGCTTCTGCCGGATAATTCGCTTGATGAGTCCACCATTGACATGCTGGTACAGCAAAGCTAAGATCGCACAGGCCAAGACCTGGGTGGGGAGTCCCATTGCAGCGTTCAGTTCCTTTTCAAAGCTGATGGAGTCTTATGTATGTTTGGCCTCTGTAGTCTGGAGCAGAAATGGGAGAGCCAGTTCAAACCACGTTGGATATCCTTTCCTTTCCTGGCACGCTTGTTCCCTAAAAGAAGAAGGAGCAGCGTAAGGGATGAACCGCAGCTATACCACCCAACAAAAAGCCTACGACACTGAATGCGTGCTGGCATCCTTAAAGAACATGGCTGGGGTGCTACTCAATGTACAATCTCACTTCACCCAAGCTGCTGAGCTTGGTTTTATATGTATCAACTGTGCATTACCTTGTTTTCCAGGATCTCAGCGTGCTTGTGAACAAAACGTCACAAGACATGAATCCTGAAGGAAGCCACACTCCAAGTATAGCGGAGTAGGGAAGGTTTAACTGCCTCAAGCAGAAGACCAGGGCAAAGAAGCCTGCTGAGTCTCACCTCAACGTTACTTTTAGACAGAGGGAGGCAAAATAGATATATATATTCTGTTACGATTGAACTAATGTTAAAAGTCTGTATTTCCTTCACCCGTTAGTCCACTGCTTGAAGGCAACTGAAGGCTGGATCATGTAAAAAACTCGAGATGTTGTCAAAAGTTGTATCAACACTACTAGGCTTATTTCAGCCCTTTTCCATACGCTTTAAATTCCTCCAATTGCTTGGGAATCTGAACTCCAGGGCTCGTAGCCCAGTAGTAAGTTTCACTATACCGATTATTTGTCCACAGCATGAAGATAAACTGAGCTCTCTGGAGAGTGCTGCAGGCTGAAGGTTCTGGTGTTAGTGCTTGTATCATAGCTACCAATATCTCAGCATAGAAGCAGTGAGACACAATAGAAGATGAGACTCCAACAAGGCAGACGCGCTGTAAGAAACAGCAATAGAAGTACACGTGCACACACACACACACACACACACAAAAAAGGGAGAGGAAGAGAAAGAAATCCTTTGATCATCTAAGTCCTTCAAGAAAGAGAGAAGGCATCAATACAGCTTTAAAAACATCCTTTTAGCAACCAATACACCTTTTCACTAGGCCTCATTTCCCACTGTCTGATCTTTCATCAGCTACAATACAATAGCTCGCTTATGGTTACAAGCACCCGGCTGGCCTCTACCAGCTCTTCCAGAAATTCATTCTTTTCAACTAGCGTCAACATTGCCTCTTCCTCCTCAGTCTGTACCTGTTCCTTGCAAGTGATATGAGCTAGGGGAGCTGAAAGACATCTATAGAGACTTCCATACTTCCTTTAGTACACAGAGTGAGAACCAAAAGCAGCTAATGGACTGGCTAAACAAGCTCACCTAATAAATGTCATCTTAGCATTTGTTTTTCTTTCTACTCCCAGAAAACCTCGGTTAAGCAGTTAGGTCAGTGACTATCACTTCGCTAGTTGTAAACCAGTGAAACGCCTGTAATGGAGGAAACAGCAATTTGTTCTCTAAACACCACTGTTTTGATGGTAGTTCATTTGGCAGATGAGAGACTAGCTTCTTCCCCCCTTCTGCGTCCCCCAAAGCATAGAGATCATTTTTTTTCCCATGCTATCCCAGCTGCTTTTGTGAAAGAATGACAATAATACATGAGACAGTTTACTGAAGTTAATTTTTTTGTAGACAACGATGAGCTCGCAAAGAGTGAACTTCACCCCTTTTTATTGGGGAATAAATCAGAAGTAAACAAGCAGCAGTGGAGGCTTTTTTTCTTGTGGCGGCAAAGCATTCAGCTTTAAGCCATTTCTAACACTTACCCCATTTGTCCAAATATGTCTGCAACCCCTGTCTGCACCAGAAGAGATCACAAGGTAGCTAATAAGGAATAACACAGACAGACACGGTCCTGGTCTCATGATCTCAGGCCAATCCCTAAATCAGGTTGCCAGTTCATGAAACATGTTCAGGAGAGTATTTGAAGTGGGATTTTAGTCTCAAGCACTCCCACTTGGCATCTGCAAATTGCTTTCCACGCAGTGAGATTCCACACTTTTTGCCCTGAGACAAGGTCATATCACTAAGATTGGTGCCTAATCCTCAAGTAGTTAGCTAAGGGACAGGCTGCTTGATAGATGCATCACCAATGGAAAATGGAACAAACTGGAAGCAGCTCTGCATCTAATTCTCACTGAATTTCAGGGAACATCAAGCACCCATTTCCTCATGGCTTTTGTAAATCCCAACCTACGAGAATACGGGCCCTGCCCAAACCAAGAAAATCGATTGTAGTTTTTTCTGCTGACATGAGTTTACATATCATTTTATGATGGTACAAACTGTGATATTTTTTAATATGCTTGGAAAATGAAAATCTGGCTTCTGACAAGAGCCACTGTCACTGTTAACTTCACAACTGATGAAAGCCACATGAACACTTTACTTTTACTGGATACTCATTGCATTAGAGTCAGCCAAACCTCTCAGCCTACAGATGATACTGGAAAACTTAATGTATCTTGGCTGACATCCTTTTCAAGTTTATGAAGAAGCACTGTGGTGGTCTAGAAGCAGCATTCCTCAGTGTCTGATCTGTGACCTGTGTTTTGACACACGGTGTGATACCTGAGCTAATTCAGATCAGGTGTTTCTCATCTGATCTGCCAAGGACCCAGCATGATCAGCTGAGTTTCACTCCTAGATCCGAGATCTACAGAACAAGACACCTTCATACAATTATTTATACATCAGTCATATTTTTGGCTGGAAGAACAAAGATGACATCCTCCCTCCAATTCCTGTTCCTCAAACATATCTAAACAACAGCTCAGACCACAATGGACCACCCAGGAGAAGGCCGTTCTAGAGAGAAATGGAAGCCACGGCAACTGTCAGGCTCTGTTGTTCCTTCATTTTTTCCCTTCTTCTTCCCTTCAGAACAGGTCATGTAGATTGTATTTTAAACCTGCCTCTTGGAGGCATCTTTTATATATTTTCTTTACAGACATCAGCTGCTGCATTATTTACAGGCACCTAAAAGTCTTGCAGCAAGAATTTGCAAAAGAAAATGGCTCTTCTCATCACAAGTTTGGCCCTGTTCTAATGTATATAAAAGGAACTGTGTGTTGTTCGTAGCCTATCTCTCAGATACATCCAGAGGCTTGTATGACCAAGAATGCGTCCGTTTTTGACAAGCAGTTTGTCTAATACAGAGTATTACTCACCCTAATGAACTGTGCCCTTCATGGTTTCTTGCCGTCCTAACACAACTGCTTAAAAAATCTTGGCAATGATTATGCGATTGGTCTGCAAAATATTCTCTTGTCATGCAGAACAATAATGTCCAGAGCTCGTGTTCTCCCAGGCTGAGCACTGGCATCTTCCCACAGCCATCCCCATTGGGCAAGAGTTATCAAGAGTTATCTTTCACTCCTCTCCTGTTCCCTTAGGCACAACCACAATGTAAATAACAACAAGAGGTACTGTGGCCTCTCACACATGTCTTAAATTTCCTTGATCAGGAGTGACTTCCTGCAGGTCTGGATTTTGCAGTCATGTCACTTAATGAGTTGCGTACTGGGACCATATAAAAAATAGATCCAACGGTGTACCTCTGAGTCACCTGAGGCCTGCACACCTTTGCTTCCAAGAAGACTGAGGCCCATCCGAGTACGGCTTGTGCGGGTACAGGCTGAGCGATGAACCTTTGGAAGACTAACACTGGATGCACCAGCTATTATCGCAAGAGTGTTGTTGCGGAGTTTGCTTTTTGGTTTTTGTTTTTTTCCCAATTGTTCAAGATCTTCTTTAGAGCACATAAACTTAACAAGTGATATATCTGAAATTACTGGTCTAGGTGCCGAGGACAGAGATGTCAGTCTCTCTCTAATAAATGTGCTGTCCGCATCACTGCAACATGGGAACAGAGCGTTTGGCAACGGCTCAGCCACTGTGGCAGTAGAGGTGATGAAAGTTTGGAATCTCTGCAAGGAGAGCTGGGTTCAGGTTCAAGTCAGAAGAGTATGAAGATAATACACATTTTTTCACCCCAGCCACAGGCTAAAGTTGCTGCCTCCTCTCTACTCCTTGGTCTTGGCTGGCTCAGAGCACGTTCCTGTTCACTTTAGAGTTTTGTTGGCCTATTAAAAAAAATAGAGACTATGAATTGAGAAGCTAATCGTGGCATCCATGTGGTACCAGCTGATGCAGAAACAAATTCGGGGAAAAAAATTTTCCTTCTCTTATATAAATACTAACCGTAAAAGTTAGATGTTATCCAAAGAGAAAAAAAAAAAGAACATTTCTAGAAAAACACTCCTTAAAAACCTGATCACTAGCTAGTAATGCTCTAATATATGTGGTGGAAGTAAGATGGACTATCAATAGCATAAAGGAAAGGAATAATTTTCCTTTCCACTGCAGCACTTTCACCTGAGGATGTGAAAGCACGTCCTAGTCTGGCTGTCAAATGCTGAAAAAATGTTAGGGTTTTTGTGATTATTTTTTTTTATATATATAAAATATATATATATATATACACACCCTTCCCTGACATCAATATTTTTTCAGCACCTTTCCATTTAATTAGAAATTTGTTTCTTAATAGGAAATTTTCAATCAATCTTGAAAAAACCACAGGAATCCTGATTCCTGGGGAATACCAAGCAAAAGTAATGTATGAATATTTTCCTTCCCCAAAGACGTATTTGCTGGAAACCTGCAGGTGTGAGAAACTAAATGAACATTTGCATAGTTTAAAGTTCTAGCGCACCAGTCTATTCTCTCTTGCAAATTCAGGAGTGGCAGGGTTGGGAGATGATTTGTGGGTATGTGGAGCGATAAATATGCAAATGAGAACCCTATGCGATTTTAATCAAAACAGATTGCAGCAATGAAGAAATGGAGGTGTTAAAAAGTATCTCAGCTGTCCTTCTGAAAGGAGGCAGAAGGCTGATTAGATTTGCTGACTTGGAAATTAGAATTAAAGGTAGGAAAATAAAAAAGAGAGGAAAAAAAAAGGAGACTATTCCTCTCTAAACATAATTCCAACAT